ACAGGAAGTTCCACCTCAACATGAGGAAAAACTTCTTTACTGTGAGGGTGACAGAGCGCTGGAATAGGCTGCCCAGAGAGGTTGTGGAGTCTTCGGAGACTTTCAAGACCTGTCTGGATGTGTTCTGTGTGATGTGCCCTAAGTGTTCCTGCAGCAGCAGAGGGGTTGGACTATCATCTTCAGAGGTCCCTTCCAAGCCCTATGATTCTATGCAAACCCCAAAACAACCCAAATCCCACACACTCAAAAGCCAGCTGTTTCAGTGGTTCAAAGGCTTCACAAACATTACCAAGGACACGTTTATGAGAAGAAAAGGCTACACAGTTTTGTGTTTTTAACAAAGTGAACAAATAGAAACAAACAGGAGAAACAGCTTTCAGTCCCTTCCCCATCAAGGCTGAATTGTTGATACAACAACAAAGACAGCTCTCTTATGATGGTGATATGTTAAAAGTACCTCATAAAAAAACCCAACAGTCAACATAAGGGATCAACTGATTTTAGTTCTAAGTTAATACAACATCTCCAGTGCTGCTGTTAGAACAGTTGATAGAGAATCAGAAAAGTTGAGAATGTGTTATTTTTTCTTATTTTAAGGAAGAGAGAATTACTTGAAAAATAGAGCCCCTCTACACTGAAACAGCAAAAGCTGAATAGTCTAGATTCAGAACATTAAATAAGGATGGGGTTTTTTTGTTTGTTTTTGCTTCATGCTCTAAAGGGTGTCTGAAGTTGCATATCTATGCAGACAGGGAGGTCAATACAATACACAGCCCCAGTTTGCAACTAAAATTAAACACTCATCATAGAACAGCCCACTTTGGAAGGAACCTTGAAAGAACACTTGGTCCAACATTTTATGGGACAAGGAGCCAAGATAATCTAGCACCTTGTTCAATTACATCCTAAAAACTTCCAGTGACTGGGACTCTACCACTTTCCTGGGGAGTAGTTCCAGTGAACTATTATTCTCACTGTAAAAAAAAAAATAAAAAAAATTATATAGAGATAAAACCTCTCTCCTGGTACAATTTGTACCTGTTGACCCTTGTCTTACCTATGTGGCACCTTGTGAAGAGAGAACCTCCACCTTCTTGTTCCACTAGGTAGTTTCTGTCTACTTTTTCACCAAAAACTTTCTGCATGACCATGAGCAAGTTGAATTGTGTGCTCATGTGTCATGTGTAAATTAAGAAAAGGCAACAGGATTCCCCTGACTTTAAAAGTATTATGAAATGCTCACATAGTATAGCAAAAGAGGTCATATAAATAACTCAACAGTTGTAAAAATAAGTGTATATATAAGTGTGTGTGTATGTATACATACATACCACTCTGTACAGGTGGTATTGTGCCCTGCACATTTATCTGTACTGTTGATGCAAGTCCATGGTATACCTGAGTGTACCTGGTGACATGGAATCTCAGGACCAGACTGGTTAGGCTTTAACCATACCTTAAGTGCAGCCCGTGTGAAGAGTCTTAAGTCTGATCTTCAGGTGTCACTGTGTCTTCCCTTGAGTGTAGGAACAACTAATCACTGTTAACTGGATTATACCCACAGTAAAATCCACAAAAAAATACCATTTATGTTAAAAAAAAACAAACCAAGCAGATATCACAATTGGGTAACAAAGTATTAGTTTTTATTTCCATGACTTCATGTACTCCATTTAACAAAGGCAGAAGGAAGAAAGTACACGCACAAGTGTAGTGATGCTCTAAACTGACCAATTCAGTGGCAATGTATTTAAGTCACAGTACCCATCTGTACCATGGTATTTATCTTCAGTTTTACCCCTTGAACTCCAATTTCCCTTTAACTGTGTTTATCCTAATAACTCTGCTTGGCTTTTGAAATGAACACTGTTTCTATTTTTGTATAGTCAGTAATAACAAGAGAGAAATCTACAGATTTAGATAACTAAGCTGAGTAAGTAAAAGTGAAGCCATACTTAACACTGGACCTGTCTGCTTCAGCTTACTTGGGAGTAAGGTTCTACCTGAACTGAGTTTTGAGGGAAGGAAATAGAGACATGATATTTACAACAACCGTTCATAGAGTTCACTGCAGCATGAGGCAGTAGCTGGCCTTTTGTATCGAACAATATAGACTAAGTTTTTTTGTTACTAACATAAAGAAACCTGTTGATCAATGGCTTAAAACACTTTGGGAGGGAAACTAAACGAAAAAAATCCACCAGTATAACATTGTATCTTACTATATACTTAGGCATACAGTCATGCTCACACATCCAGCAGTATATCTAGTCTTATCCACAAGCACTAAATATTCGGTAGGAAAACAGACATTATTTCTTATTAAGAAACTGTCAATAACCTGCAGCATAATTATATCATTGCTTTTTCACATTAAAAAACCAAGCAAACAAAACTCCCCCTGTGCTGCAAGTTACTTCAAATATATCATTAAAGAGCTTTTCCCTTTGTATTTTGACCTTTGATTTCACATATTTTGTTGCTTTAAATTGTAATTCAGCAAGACTACTCTCAACTACATTTCAGTAACAGCTACAGCATCACATCCTTCACTGTGATTCACAGAAAATTGTACCTCTATTTATAAAGGAAATGATGCTTCTACGCACATTTAAGTTTGATCAAAATCTGGTCAGTTATTTCAGTTCTAGTGTAGTAGTAAAAAATGGTATTTGAAACCCTATTCATGTTTGGGAGAAGTAATTACTTACACATTGGAATTAATTAAGCATTCATATTTTCAGAAAAACTAGTCCTAAGAATGAAGACTATCAGATTGTAAACTAAAAAGCTGAAGTAAAAATGTGACTTGAATAGCATACTATTGCAAACTATAACTCTCCTATTTCAGTTTAGCATTTCTTTATTAAAGTGGAAGAAAAGTGTCATTACTGAGGGCATTAGCTGTTACTTTTGGTTTTTATTTGTCACCTAGGGAAGCGTGCTACATCAATACATATCACATTGCTTAGTCAGACCACTGTTATAAAGTGCCATATTTACAAGTGCCTTTACAAATTAAAACAACCCCTAAAACCTTCCAGTCCTTAAATTTAAAGCCAATGTGAAAAAAACAAAACGTGCAAACAGAACTATATCCATACCATTAGTCATCTCCAAATCTCTATTTAAACAGCATTGTTTGTATGATTAACCAATAGTGCCTAACACAGAAAGCAACCTGAACCAAAGTGTGAAAAGAAGTATTTCTGTTAATGAACTGAACACTACCTACAGGGGATGGAGAGATAGGAAAAACGTGTCACCCAGTTTCAGTAGATCTCTTCAAACCACTCACAAACCACAACACTTGTGGTTTTTTTCAGAGCTGAATAAAGTAAGAAATACAACGCCTGAGAGGTTTTTTTCCCCCCTGTTTAAACACACATCCACACCAGATTCACTAATGTTTTGTGTTAAAAAAGTTTCAAAATAACATTTCAGATTCCACATAGGATCTGCATAACATATTTGCCTACAAAAGCATTCCTGAAAGTTAAATTTCACTCCTCCTAATTAGCACTCTAAACTTTACCTTTGTCATCCTTTTATATTATCAGTAAGAACATAAAACAGAGTTTGCCCTTCGATATGCAAGGGCACAGACTGGGCAGGGCAGTTACTTCACAGTTACTACCACAGAGTTCTATCTAGGCCACAGCTTTTCCCTCTAACATTGGGCAAGATGTAGGGATTGTAGTTGGGACACTAAAGAGAGTCTTATGGATGAGCCTGCTTGTTCTTCATGACACCAGCTTGCACCCTCTCTTTCATGCCTGACCATCTTCACACCACTAGCATGATACATAAGCTCCTCCAAAACCCCAAACATCCAGTCTCCCCATGACTCCTAACTCATTCTATTCTCTCTCTCTCTTATCTGGTGATCAAGTTAGGGAATCCCACCACAACCCCACCCATCACTTCAGCTCTCTCTTCCTTTGTTGTTCTCTACCCTTGCTCACACACAGCAACTATTTTCTCTGTGCTGAAGACAGCTAAGAACCCCCTCATGACTTGCATTCAGTCTTGGAATTCTGCTGGAATTTTTGCCGTTAGTTTTCTAGCTCTACTGAATCCCAGTCCATAACCCCAGTTGACATTCATCTCCATTGATTCGTTTCTGCACTCCTAAAAAAACCTGCTGATTCCAAACTGTTTATGGGGATTTTTTTTTTTTTGAGGGGGAAGAAATGCAGTTGTTCTAAAAGGAAAAAAAATTTACATAAAACTCACCATAATAGTAATTCATTCTCTGATATTAACAAGGACTTCTTATGTGCTTTCTACATATCATCATATGTTTTCAGCCTCAACCTTCTCTATTACTTTACACAGCATAGAGATATGAATTAGGTTTATGACATTTTTAATAAGTTGCAAAACAAATAAATTTGAGCCTCACACGAAATTAGCTTCCCAATACAAAGTGCTTCAACCAGTGAGATAGTGAAAACCAAGCAATCTCCCAGCTGTTCTAAGGAAATATCTCAGTTCTCACTTGATCCTATTCTGTATTTATGTGATTATGCCTTTATTTTTATTATAAGTCCTCCTCTCCTGTTAAGACAAGCTGTAGTACAGGAAATATTCCACCTAAAATCCAGAATTGATTCTGAAAGTTTGTATTGTAAAAATCAAGCCCTGGCCATTTGAGTGGTCTGTACCAATCACTAGTGTGAAATTAGTTTTGTAACTCTACACAGTGAAGTTATTCAGTCTCAATTCCCTGCAGTTTTTTTCTACCCTTTGTAGTACTAGCTCACCTTTAAAAAAACATTTTGAGAGCCCATAGTCAGATACTCTAATGGTACTGCTTACTTTATTAATTGCACCATTATTTTCTAAACAGAGCATATTATATAATGAGAAAACATGGTACTTCGAATTTCAAAATCATTAAAATAATAGATATGTGTATTTATGTGGAATTTTTTTAACCACATACTAAATGCACTTATTTGGAACAATGTAAATTGAAGAAAGCATGATTTACTTACCTTTGAGAGTTCCATTCCAGGTCCACACTGTTTGCAGAGGATACAGTTTCCAGTGTGGTCCCTAAATTCTTGCTCTCTGCAATCTCCAGTCTCACAAATTACCCTACTTAGCTAAGAAAAAAAAGTAAACTCATTAAAATATAATTAATCTGTGACTTACATAATTTATATAAACTTCAAATGTGAGAAAGAAATTCATTTTTCTACCTTAAAATGACTTTCTGCTTTATAAAAAACTTTAAATGTGGCAGTGAAAATTAATGAAACATTCAAATACAGATAACTGGCCTGAATTCTAAAGGTTCTCAGTGACTTGCAATAGTTTTATAATTTTTAGAAGATCTGCTTGATACTTTACAATTGTGTAATGTCAAAACAATTGTTTAAACCTGAGTTTAAGTTTCGCACCTTACTGAACATTATGAAAAATGCACATGAACATTTAATAAAGCTGCAGTTTTCATGACAGTAAGTTACAACACATTCCATTGTATTGCCGTGGTTTGTTTATTTGTGGTTTTTCTATTACAATTGAATAAATAAGCAAAAATATATTCCTTTAAACATAAATACTCAGAGATTTAAAAGGTCACTCAGACTCCTTGGAAACTTAAAAAACACCCCAAGCCTGTATGAACACTATTTATTCTACATTTCACTATCACTTTTTATTTAATGGGCCAAATGAGAGAGATTCCAACTTCTGCCTTCAAAGTTTATCTGACCAAACCAGAAACTAAAGTGATGAGAAATATCAGAAGCAGTAATATCAACCATGCAAAGTCTCAATATAATGACTCATATTTTACCCAGGAACATGAGCAAACACTGTGAGTGCCCTCAGCAGAAATTTAAATGAAATGCCTACATCCAGGCTGCCATGCTAGAAAGCTCTCTCTGCAACTGCTACTAAACTCTTACTTTGTGTACTAGTCTTTTCAAAAAGACCAAAGCGTTTTTGATAGCTACGAAGCATCAATTACCCTTAGTTCTAGAGCTTGTCTCTGCAAGTCAGAGTTGAAGAACACTTAGTAGGCAATGTAATTGTGTGCTATGCTATGTCCTGTGGATAAACTGAATACTCCAGACTCCTAAACTATATATATTAGAATAATGTACTACAAGGTGGCCACTGCAAATTGCCTAGAATTCCTGTCATCTCTCTGAAGCGACACAGTATCACTTTCACAGCCCTATATTCACTTATATTTTCTGTCCTAGGGCAGTCCTTCTTCCATGAAGGGGCTCACAAGGTGAAAGTTTTTAATTCCAGATGAGGAAGGGCAAGAAATTATATAAATCAAATGACTGTGCTCACTTCTACATTGATAAAATCCATATGTAATTGTTTGTGTATATGTTTAGGGCTTTCAGTGCTAGCATTCATCTGTAAAACAACAGATACTATTCCTGTGTCCAAGACAATTTTTTTAACATTCATCCTGGGAGGAAAAAGTTAACTTACCAAATATGCCAGTAAAATTATGAGCATCTTCAGTTTATCTTCTCCTTGTAATCCTTTAGCATCCATTTCTTTCAATTAAATCTTTCAACCTAGAAAAATACAAAGGGGAAAAAAATCCATTAGATTTCACAATGTTGCTTAAACTGCAAAAATTGTATGTCCACAGTAGGTCATGTCATTCAGCATGTCAAATATGTATCTGTTAATGCCATTAAAATATTTCAGATGGATTCCTGGAAGGTAAACAACAAACACAGGCTTTAGAAGTCATGTTCTTTTTCAGAAGACAAGGTAATAGACACCCAAGTTTCTATAGCCTTAATTCTCAGAAGAAGAAGAGACTGCTACCAGTCTGGATTAGAGAGATCAGTGTTTGTAAACCTAACATCTAACATCCCTAACATAACTTTCTTGCTTGTTATATGCTCAACTAAGTACATAATCAACATACAAAAGAGGGAAGTTCAGTCCATAAAGCCTTGCTTAATACTTTCTAAAGAATTGATAACAAATTATTTAAAAAATGAAGGGAACTATTGGCAACTCTCATAGAAAGGAAGATGTAATTTGGGCTTTGGTTTTCAGGATTATTAAACCAATGAACTGCACTCCCACAATCATTAAGACTATTGTGCTTGGCCAACAGAATATTTTTTTCTCTGCTTACTTTCTTTTTGAGTCTTTGTGTTAAGTTCTGGTTTCTGACTTTTTGGTTTTGTCAATTACCTGGAAATAACTACATAGGAACAATAATAATATGAAAAAAAAAATCCAGCTTACATAAAATGCCATTTGAATTTGCACACCTTGAAATACAGTAATATAGTGTCATTGCTTTCAATTAGATGTGAAAAATAATGCTTAAAACATTTCTGGTCTACTTCAGAGCTTAAGGATTGATAATTCTACAGGGTGTTTTAAAGGACAAAATAATTTTTATCATTCAAGAGTAGAAGAGAATGACAAATAAAAGGACATAACCCAAAATGTAAAGAAAGTAGTATAGCAAAAGAACAGTTACAAAATGTTTTACAATATGAAACCATAACAAGCATAATACACTTCCAAAAATATACAACCAGAATGAGCATAAACTATAACTAACACACAATTCACCTTCTACTGCATTAATACCCTAATTAGTCAATTCAAATAAATGAGAAGCAAATATGCTCCAGTGGCAATATCAGTATCTTTTATGATAGATTATATTTTGAAGTGTACAATGAGCTAAAAACTGCTAGGAAGAACAGAACATGCAAGGAGGTGTGTCAGGCAGCACTCTACAGGAAAGCCAAGGCTACATTCTTATGGTTATTTCTCTTTGCGATGGTAAGCGTCTATGGGCTAATGACAATTACCAGATTAGACACATGTCAACATGGGTAGAAGACCATCAAGTAACACAAATACATAAAGATACAGCATTGGACATAGATTGCTTATTTCAAGTCTGAAGGGGAAAAAAAAAAGCAAAAAACATGAAATGTGAAATCTCAGGGTTAATTCTGGATGACCCAAATACAACAATTTGATGTAAAAGTACTGTAGAGCAAAAGTAAAAAGGAAAAATTTTAAAAGCTATTAATTGCATAAGGTTGGCATCAGAAGCAGACAGTGCTGATGCCAAAAAAAAAAAAAAAGTATATAAAATAACAAAACAGTTTTTAGTAATAGCAAAAAACAAACAGTGGACAGAGACAGTAAAAATACCCTTAAGGGAACTAAGAGGTTTCAAGAAATGTTTCTCATCTATGTTCGGAAAGCAACAAGATGGATAAAAACACACACAACTTATAACTTCTGACTTAACAGCAACTGAAGATCCGCTAACCAAAACTAGATTTACACCCAAGACAAACTGTGAGACTTTGCACTTCAGTAACCTTGAAAAAAGTATCAAGAATGGCTTAAGCATGCTGCTGTCCAATTTCTATACAGCTTGGAGGGCTACAAAAAATTAAATAGTGATAATATTATTAAAAGATGAAAAAAGAACTAAGAATAGCACTACAATAAATAACTCTACACAATATTGCAGAAAAGCAACCCTGCTAAACAAGTCTAACTTTACTTCAATTCAGAGAAGACAACAAAGCTAAAATGCTAAGTAAGAGGAAAATTGTATAAAATGATTAAATATGAAGAATCACGCTGAAACAAAAGGGATTTGGGAGAAAAATCCCCATTGACTTCTTGATTTTGTATAATCCTATTCAGTGAAAAATACAAAATACTTTATGAGCTTTCTTAATTGCTACAGGAGATAAAACATACATGTACAAGTGAAATAAAGCTGTATATGTAACAGTTGCTTAGAACTGATTGTCAAGTAATCATTCAAAGTCCTCTGAATTTATAGCCATTGTACTCCTTAAGAATATTATTGTTAAAGAAAGCAAAGATAGCACTGTCCTAATGTAATTGTGACTATCTATATAACACTAATTTTTAAATAGTATTCTTTATAAGGTTAAAAACTGGTTTTATTTTAAGATTCACTTTCACATCTGAAAATAGATGTGTGACATATCAAAAATAAATTAAATATCGTAATAATTGTATATATATATTTTAGTCAAGTTTCATGTAGAGTTATCAATAGAAACAATATTGGCAAGGTGTACTAAGCCTAATGTTCTAAATATGGAGCTGTGGCATATCTAAACAGTCTGTACTTTTTCAAAGTAGGTCATCTGAAGTATGGTAAGCTGCCCTGTGATAGAACAAGGGGAAATGGCACCAAGTTGCAACACAGGAAGTTCCACCTCAACACGAGGAAAAACTTCTTTACTGTGAGGGTGACAGAGCGCTGGAATAGGCTGCCCAGAGAGGTTGTGGAGTCTTCGGAGACTTTCAAGACCTGTCTGGATGTGTTCTGTGTGATGTGCCCTAAGTGTTCCTGCAGCAGCAGAGGGGTTGGACTATCATCTTCAGAGGTCCCTTCCAAGCCCTATGATTCTATGCAAACCCCAAAACAACCCAAATCCCACACACTCAAAAGCCAGCTGTTTCAGTGGTTCAAAGGCTTCACAAACATTACCAAGGACACGTTTATGAGAAGAAAAGGCTACACAGTTTTGTGTTTTTAACAAAGTGAACAAATAGAAACAAACAGGAGAAACAGCTTTCAGTCCCTTCCCCATCAAGGCTGAATTGTTGATACAACAACAAAGACAGCTCTCTTATGATGGTGATATGTTAAAAGTACCTCATAAAAAAACCCAACAGTCAACATAAGGGATCAACTGATTTTAGTTCTAAGTTAATACAACATCTCCAGTGCTGCTGTTAGAACAGTTGATAGAGAATCAGAAAAGTTGAGAATGTGTTATTTTTTCTTATTTTAAGGAAGAGAGAATTACTTGAAAAATAGAGCCCCTCTACACTGAAACAGCAAAAGCTGAATAGTCTAGATTCAGAACATTAAATAAGGATGGGGTTTTTTTGTTTGTTTTTGCTTCATGCTCTAAAGGGTGTCTGAAGTTGCATATCTATGCAGACAGGGAGGTCAATACAATACACAGCCCCAGTTTGCAACTAAAATTAAACACTCATCATAGAACAGCCCACTTTGGAAGGAACCTTGAAAGAACACTTGGTCCAACATTTTATGGGACAAGGAGCCAAGATAATCTAGCACCTTGTTCAATTACATCCTAAAAACTTCCAGTGACTGGGACTCTACCACGTTCCTGGGGAGTAGTTCCAGTGAACTATTATTCTCACTGTAAAAAAAAAAATAAAAAAAATTATATAGAGATAAAACCTCTCTCCTGGTACAATTTGTACCTGTTGACCCTTGTCTTACCTATGTGGCACCTTGTGAAGAGAGAACCTCCACCTTCTTGTTCCACTAGGTAGTTTCTGTCTACTTTTTCACCAAAAACTTTCTGCATGACCATGAGCAAGTTGAATTGTGTGCTCATGTGTCATGTGTAAATTAAGAAAAGGCAACAGGATTCCCCTGACTTTAAAAGTATTATGAAATGCTCACATAGTATAGCAAAAGAGGTCATATAAATAACTCAACAGTTGTAAAAATAAGTGTATATATAAGTGTGTGTGTATGTATACATACATACCACTCTGTACAGGTGGTATTGTGCCCTGCACATTTATCTGTACTGTTGATGCAAGTCCATGGTATACCTGAGTGTACCTGGTGACATGGAATCTCAGGACCAGACTGGTTAGGCTTTAACCATACCTTAAGTGCAGCCCGTGTGAAGAGTCTTAAGTCTGATCTTCAGGTGTCACTGTGTCTTCCCTTGAGTGTAGGAACAACTAATCACTGTTAACTGGATTATACCCACAGTAAAATCCACAAAAAAATACCATTTATGTTAAAAAAAAACAAACCAAGCAGATATCACAATTGGGTAACAAAGTATTAGTTTTTATTTCCATGACTTCATGTACTCCATTTAACAAAGGCAGAAGGAAGAAAGTACACGCACAAGTGTAGTGATGCTCTAAACTGACCAATTCAGTGGCAATGTATTTAAGTCACAGTACCCATCTGTACCATGGTATTTATCTTCAGTTTTACCCCTTGAACTCCAATTTCCCTTTAACTGTGTTTATCCTAATAACTCTGCTTGGCTTTTGAAATGAACACTGTTTCTATTTTTGTATAGTCAGTAATAACAAGAGAGAAATCTACAGATTTAGATAACTAAGCTGAGTAAGTAAAAGTGAAGCCATACTTAACAGTGGACCTGTCTGCTTCAGCTTACTTGGGAGTAAGGTTCTACCTGAACTGAGTTTTGAGGGAAGGAAATAGAGACATGATATTTACAACAACCGTTCATAGAGTTCACTGCAGCATGAGGCAGTAGCTGGCCTTTTGTATCGAACAATATAGACTAAGTTTTTTTGTTACTAACATAAAGAAACCTGTTGATCAATGGCTTAAAACACTTTGGGAGGGAAACTAAACGAAAAAAATCCACCAGTATAACATTGTATCTTACTATATACTTAGGCATACAGTCATGCTCACACATCCAGCAGTATATCTAGTCTTATCCACAAGCACTAAATATTCGGTAGGAAAACAGACATTATTTCTTATTAAGAAAC